CCAGAAGTCAAAAGGGATTGCAGAGGACCCCTTCAAAAGGGAAGGGGTTTGGAAGTTGCTCTTGATTGATCATCGGTTATGAATGTACAAACTACCTGAATATTTTATCACAGGTTCCATAACAACATTATGAATACCAAAATTCGAAGATGACATCAACCAGCCTTTCATGAAATCATTTCCAGGAAACATTATCTACTGTGATCACTCGCATTAAGTTAAAATTCCTACAGAACTGCATTGCATGCTGAAGTGCGAAAACAAGAGAAAACTTCCTGAAAGGTATTTCCCCAACATTTTCACACGCGACGGTAACCGAACTGAATTTGGAAGGGAGTCTCGGATGAGAGACAGAACGCGATTTCAGAAACGAAAGGTTTTTCGAAATACATGCATTAACGCTGGGAACGAAAATGAGGTTCGACGTCTGCACATTTTACTTAGAAGAGCGAAAACAGAGCCATAAAGCATCAGCTGGATGGCACGAAATTGCCTCGGGAATGGGGATGACGAAGGGATATGATGCAGATATAATGTCGAGGGTTCACGGCCAATTCCCACTATATAAGATGAACGCACTCTCATGCATCGCTGCAAATCCACTACAACCTCCACAATCTCTCACTGCTTTCGTCAGCAACGGTTCGGGTACGATTTCTCTCTCTTCCTCTCAAACTGTTTTCCAATGAGGCTTCCATTCTACCTGTAGAATACCTCTCTGCGTAGATTACATTCGTTGGTCATATCAAGGTATTTATTTTAGATGTGTGATGCCTAGCGATTATGGAATACGTTTCCGAAGGATTTCCTGGTGGATTTCCAAATGGAGGACATACCTTTGAGTCAATATGTATTTTTCTTCTCTTTGATACACCTTTTTATAAAACCATTTTCGCATGCGATTTTAGTTGCTAAACCTGGGAGGATCCTGTTCCTGAGGACATATTTATATGTAATGAATGTAGGAGTGTATGCTAAAAATTAGAAGCGATCCATGCCGTATTTATAGGCAAGTCCAAATTAGAAGCGCAGTGACCGAACGGGATAAGCACCCAAGGCAGATTCAGCCTTTTCGGTTTATTATTTTTTCATAAGTACTGTATATATATTCTGGAAGTTAGCTTAGATTGAGTTCAGTCATATCTCTTCCATTGCAAGGTTTTAAGGAAAATGGGGAAGATCCGGCTGGCTACGATGATCTTGGCAACCGTCCTGGTCCTTGCCGATCTGGAAAAAATTACTGAAATGAATCGCCGTTGTTTTTAATAGCTCAGGTATTTTGGAAAACCCGACCACACCCGAATTTTCTCGATTCAGCGTGGATAACAAATCACTGGATTAATTAAACCGGAAAATTAAGTTCCTTTACAAAATGATAATAATTTGGTGCATATTCAGTGTTCAAAAATTAATCAGCCAATCGGTTCATCGATGCCCATCACAGGAAATTATCACGAAAATTTCGTGCCTGACATTAACCTAGTATTTAAATATGTTCAAATGCAGTAAATTTCTTCATAAAGCGATTCAAAGACATAGGCATCGTCCAGAAACATCGAGTCCACGCTGCAAGCATTTGATCCACAGGCGAGCACAACTGACCGCAGGTGACGGTGCATATGAATCCTGGTCCGGTGTTATCTATGGCATGAAGGCGGGCGGAAAGAGTTATCCAAACGTTTACTTGGGTATTGAAAGTAAGTGCTTGTTCCACAGATTCTGGAGAGAGAAAAAAATTATGATATAGGTTCGACCATAAAATTCGTCTTCTTTGCATGATTCGACGCTCACGCCTTTCGTTGAAAGTGAAGTTGCAGATGCAGAGGAGGGTCCACGGGAGTGTCACATCGGAGCATTGGATCGTCACGTCCATCGGACACTGCAATGCGTCACCGGAAAAGCGTAAGTTTTTCATCTTACAATGATTCCGTTCGAGATGAGCCGAGAAAGCGAAAACCTCACTGAGAACTTCCAGGAGCAGCAGTACGAGCTGGGATAATTGTTGGGATAATTGGGGCTGATGGGCGGGGTGGCTATTCCGAGGAAGAGGGACAAAGGTCGTCCCCTCATATTGGCGCCTGCCGATTCTCGAAGGAGGAAAAATCTAAAAGATCCCATCTTGCAGATTTCGACCAGATATTTTTTCGAATTGCGGCTTGTGGTAACGGTTGGCATAGGGCAAAACCCCGTGGAGAACCCCAGATGCGTGGGTCAGACGCCTTTTTTTCTATCGTGCGACTCAGTTCTGTTATGACCGAAGATCGCGTTGAAAAGGGATTACTTCATCGTTTAGGTCGCTCGACAGGTCCTTGTGATCAGGTCAAGAAAAAGGTTCGAATTGACGGAAATAAAAAAGGACAATCTAATTCAATCTTGGGAAAGAGTGAGTGATTTCGAAAAAAAGGAGCAAAACTGGAGTTGGCGGTTTTATTCCTTAAGAACGATTAAACATAAACGATAACTACTCACTCATATGAGCAGAATCCATAATTTCTCTTAAAGAGCGAAGCAAGGGAACTAGAGAACTTTTCAAACTAGTAGAAAAAGTTAGTGGTTATTGTCAGAAAGAGAGAGCTGTAGTTTCTTTTTTTGGAAGGTAAAATTACAGTACTAACTCCAGTTTCGCTCCCCGGCTTCGGCATCTGCTCCTCTTTTCTCCCCTCATTTCGTGAATGTTGACATTCAGCAACATTTGCCTGATTATAGATGTAAGTTTGAGTCATTCAAAAAATAGTACGTGACTGAAAGCCCTTTTGAGACATAGTGGTAGAGACACGATAATTGTTGTGCTGAGTTAATATGATGAACTGATAATGAAATGGTACTTTGCAGTGGCAGACTAATTTTCTGAGATTTGCTGATACCTTATCTGGACATCTCTGAATGAACTGGATGATGCCATGCATCGATAGGCTCAGTGGAGCCAATTTCACCTTCCATGTCATGCTTCTCGGAGACATTCTCTCCCCTTAGACCTGGTCAATACGGTTTGAGGAACTCCAGATGGAGGTAATTTTACACGTCCTATCCGAAATGGTTTGTGAAAGCCTTATCAATTTGCGTACCGCTCACGGAGATCTCCGTTTTTTTAGTCCTTTCGCGAGTCATTTTGCCTAGCCTATGGCCGAAAAAGTCATAGCCTTGTAGTAATCGAGCTTTAGGCTAAGATATCTGAGGCTTTTGTCAGAGCGGCGGATCGACGTGTTTAAGTGTCCGGTTCCCAATGTGTTAAAAGGCGTGCGATCGGCCTAACGCTGCGCGCCCGCTAAGAGATGTCTCGAACAGCATGGATTCATCCTTGTAGACCTATCTCGCTATGTAAGTCGAGGATTGACAGTTTGCAAAATCATACATTACCTATTTACCTGTAACTCCCTCATACAGCAGTTGTTTTCAGCGAAAATCTGTTTTTGGATGGATCTTTAAGCGTTCTTTCATCAAAACTTTTCTTTCCCAAACCATTAAGGGGAGACTATGAGCAAAAAATTCCAAAGAAAAACCTCTTTTTTCCCAAAAGTTAATTTTTTGCCAAAAAAAATTGTCTCAAAATTTAGCTTTCAGAAGAATCTATTTCCAACATGTTGCGATCACGATTTCTTACATTTTGAGCCCATATTCTGATAATAGCACAATTTTTCGTAGAAAGCAACAAGCATTTTTGAACGTGAGTATTTTTCCAAATAATGTATTCCCTCAGCAGAAAGAAGGAGGCCATAAAGCTTCAAAAAGTGAAAGAAAAAGCTTCACAAGAGGAGCAGGAAGGCGTGCAATACAGAGCTGGGGGTTTCAAAGTAAAATTTTCTCTCATTTGTATTGTGCAAGCTCTTATAGGAGAACCTTTACAAGTAAATGTCATGGAGAGTTTAGATACAGAGACTACCACTACAAATAGTCGTATTCATGTTATCGGTTAACAAGGCTGAACATTGGTCCTAAAAGGTTCTAAAACGTCGGTCCTTCTCCTTAAAAAATTTCAGGTGCGAGGTACCCGTCGTGACTTTCGTGACGTGATTTCCGATATGGAGGTGTCATTACTTTTTCTTCCTTCTAGGTGGGTTAAACTTGAAGAAGTTATTCTCACAAAAAAATTAATTAAAAATGATTACAAGGCAATATTCATTTTAAAACTAACCTAAAATTTGAAAACATGAGCTAAATGTGTATATCCTTGAGAATTACGAGGAAAGTCTCACACCTGCAATCGCACAACGTCCAGGAGCACCTTCCTGTAACGAGAGAAAGGAGAATGATTGATGTGAAGAAGAACTTCATAAAAACGAGTTTTCCTCATCAATGGTGAAATCCTTCAATAAAAATCCCATGTTTTGGAACTGGAGTTTCTCCCTTTCTGCAGGGTGAAATTACTTGACTACTCAAATGGTGACCAGGTATTCATATAGAGGTTGAAGAAAGGTAAAACCATGGAAAATAGGTTCTCACATTTCTTTATTGAAATAAATCTACATTTATTACCTTCTCATGCTCCTTCGACAATACTATGGATGAGCATGATGCTTAGAAGTTCATAGCTCTAGGTGGCTTTGGATGAGATTGATGCTCAAATATATGGATTTCATTTCCATGGAATGCAATGACAGTCGTGAAATACGTGAAGGATATCAACTCTCTTGCAATGTTCTGAAATTGCTAAACCATACAAAAATCCACAGAGAAGATTTTCTCGTGATCTCACTCAAACAGACAAGATGAAACCTTCTCCTGAGGCAAAGGAAAAGTTATCGACAGGTGAAAGCGGTATGAAGGGAAGAGAGAAGAGAAGGCACGGTAACAGTCCGAGTGCTCCGAAGTGACGATTGATATGAAAACAGAGGATGCCGAACCAGATGCCTCCCGGTTGCGACTAAAACCCGGGAGAAACACACCACTGAGCGTCATTGGTGTTCATTCCGATGAAGCTGTTCACGTATTCTGCAACAGATACGAGGTGTGAGCGGTACGTTTCCCAGGTTTTGCACGGAGCATCACAGCATTAAAGAGTTTTAGGAACACTCACTTCCCGTTGCCGCGAATGCAGCGCCGTACTGTGGGTCGCATCCTTTCATGAAGGAGCTGATGCCGACGTTCAAGTAATACGATCCTGGAGTTCTGAACATCAACGGTCCACCGAAATCCCCCTGGAAAATACGACACGAGTGGATTCACTCTGCACGAACTCCATCGTTCTTTCTCTCGGCCCTTGTCTCGAGGCTTACGTGGCAGATATCTTTTCCTGCCTTCTGCGCGCAGATGAAGTTTTTCGTGAATAGGGGTCCGTAGTTCTTCTGGCAAACAGAATCGCTCGCGACCTCAATAGTCGCCTCTATCAATTTTAGTGCGCGGATGCCGTTCAGTGAATCTGGAATTGAAATGGATATTCTCGATGGTAACATCTCACGAAAAAAACAGACTGCAATCCCCCCCGTCCTCAAACTCCCTACATCGCCAATTCGTCCCGCCCCATCCGGCGACTGTCATCGGCGTCCCAGTGCTGAACGAGACGGGGGCGGGGAGGCAGATCGGCCGAATGTGCGGGTAGGCTTGGAAGTCCACCGGTGTCTCCAGCTTCAACAAGGCGATGTCGTGGTCGATCGCCGTCAGGTTCGATCCGGTTTTATTTATCAGGAATTGCGGATGCGGGATGGCCCGAGCTGGGATCTGTATCGATACGCTTTCCGACGTTATATATCGATGCAAATCTCCCAGGACCACATAGTAGGTGGCCGAGGAGCTAAAGAAGAAAGGTATAAATAGGATCATTTATTCACACAGTTCCATTCTTGCTGCATTTCTAATTCCTTCGTGAATACTTTTTGCCATTCAAATCAACCCCCTTTTTTATTTGAAATCGCGAAATTAAAATCATGCATTGCCACACGTTCCCCACAATTCGTATTCTTACTTATGATAAAATATATGAGTCAAAATGATTGGAAAACTTACTTCTCATAGACGCACTGGGCGGCCGTCAGGACGTATCGATCGTTGATGAGTGACCCACCGCACAACATGAACAGCCCCGTTGGATTCGGCCGGATCCACACCATCCAGGGATATTTCTTCTCGCTGGGCACGTACCTGCCTCCGACGATGCGGTCCAGTCCTGTCGAGTTCGCCGGCGCGTCGGCGGATCTCCTTCCCGGATACTGGGAGATTCCGCAGTCTGTAAACGTCGGAGGGGAGTGGAGGAATCCCAGGAAGAGTAAAATAGAAAACTTCCCAGCTCGAGTAATACCGACGGTCATTTCTTGAACTTACCGCAAGCAGCCATTTTACCTGAAAAATTTGAAATCAATCGCAGTTGTTTGAGACGTTCGGGTTTTTCGCATAACGAGAGCACATACAAAGTTTGCTGATACAATGTGGATGGAAAATCACCGGATTAATTAAACCGGAAAATTTAGTTCCTTTAAGAAAAAGTGCGTGGGTCATCCCAAAAGTTCGAGAACAAATGTGAATAGTTTCATTGCATGTGATCCGGCAGCAACGGTCTTATCATATCTGATTGGAAAGAAAGTTCTCGGAATTTCTGGAATATCCAGTACAATTTTTTTCCAGAGCATGCTAGAATGTTCTATGATTTTGCTTTTAAATAAACTGGGTTGTAATAATTGTTCGTGAAATTCCGAGAACTTTCTTTCCAATCAGATAGAATTCATATTGATGTCTCATGGTGCTAACGTAGGAATGCTCATGTTACTGCCCCTTCCCGTTACAAATATATAGTATTTTTAAGTGGAACTACATTTTACCACTATGTACGAAGATGATCGGGTTCAGCGAGGTGGGCCTTGGTTTCCGTGGAAACAGAAACAGCCTCAAGTCGTGGTCTGCAAGAGGTTTAGAGGGACAGACCTTTCAGGAAAAGGGCCAAAAATAAGCAGATGCATCGCTTTGAAGTGGAATGGATTCCAGTGGATGATTCGCCAAGGGCGACCTGACCTTGGCGCACGCTTGGCGCATGCTCCCGCTGTGAACCAGTGGTGTCAAGTGACCCCAGCAAACTGGATTGCTGAAAGACTCGAGAACCTGATGGAACTGTAGCATTAGCGTGTGCCGCTGCGCGGGAAGTATATTGAGAAAGTTCACTTGGAATAATGCTGCATTTGGTGCTTCAACTTGATGTAGAACAAAATGTTCTCGAACTTTTGGGATGACCCACGTATAATTTGCAGCAAATTCATTGTTAAATAATAAATAAGCCAATCGGTACATCCATGTTCATCACGGAAAAATAATCACGAATATTTCGTGTCTGACATTAATATATTTGAAAACATTCAAGAATACGGCATCCTCCAGCGACTTCGTTTCCACGCTGCAAGCATTTAATCCACAAGTGACCATAACTGACCGCAGGTGACAGTGCAAATGAATCCTGATCCGGTGAAACCTGCGGCATGAAGACGGACGGAGAGAGTTCTCCCAACATTTACAGGGTTCTGAAAGTAAGTGCTCGTTCCACAGATTCTGGAGTGAAAAAAAAACTTAATGAAGATGTTTCCTCGGACGTGAAATTCGTATTTTTTGCATCATCCGAAGGCTCACGTCTTTCCATTGAAAGTGAAGCCGCCCAAGACGCAGAGGGGATTCACCGGGAGTCTCACATCGGAGCATTGGATCGTCATGTCGACTGGACACTGCGATGAGACACCGGAAGTCGTAAGTTTTTCATCTCACGTTGATCCCGTTCGAGAAGAGCCGAGAAAGCGAAAACCTCACCGAGAACTTCCAGGAGCATAAGTATCAGCTGGGATAATTGTCGGGATAATTAGGGCTGATGAGCGGGGTGGCCATTCCGGGGAGGAGGGGCAGGTCGACCCCGCATGTCAGCGCCTGCCGTTTCTCTGAGGAAAAAAATCTCATCGATCCCATCTTACAGATCTCTGCCAGATTTGTTTCGAAATGCGGAACGTTTGGCATGGGGCAAAACCCCGCGGAAAATCCCAGATGCGTGGGTGGAAGCCAGAGGCATTTCTTTCGGTCGTGCAACTCAGTTCATTAATGACGGAGGATCGCGTTGAAATGAGGTCAAGGTCACGTGATCGTTCGTGTCGTTCGACAGGCCCTTGTGATCCGGTCGAGAAGGTTCACATTGACGGAAATCATCAACGAAAATGACGAATCTAATAGTGAGCGATTTCCGAAAAAGGGAGTAAACTGTAGTTAGCGCTTTTATTCCCTAAAAACCATTAAGTAAAAATGATAACTATTCACTTATATGAGCAGAAACCGTAACTTCTTTTAGAGCGCGAAACGAGGGAGGGAATGTATGTTTCAGACTAGTAGTATAAGTTAGTGGTTATTCACAGGAAAGAGATGGAGGAGCGGCTGAACTTCCTTGTTTATAGAGGGTAAAATTACCAACTCCTGTTTCCCTCCCTTTATCGGAAATCGCCCATTCTTTTCAGAGATTTTTGTCAAAATTAAGGGACATCGAGAAAATTTAGACTTAGAAGACGTCAAGAGGGTCAATTCATCGAAACGGCTCTCGGTGAAAGCAGATTCCTGCTTGCAACTGATATCTCGGCGCCGACGCGGGCGTTGGACCAGCCGACACGAAGGTCCTCTCCATTTCCCCGCGTCTGATCCGCCTTGAATCCCCCGTGTCGCCACGAATCCCTCCCGGCTCGTCTTCGAAGTCGTTCGAAGCGATTCAGGTTCAATCTGATGGATTCGCGTTCGCCCTTCTCCCCCGCCCCGTGAGCTCGTGGCTTTCGAACTTCCATGGAAGCGCCGGCTCCACCTCCGCCTCCTCAACGCCCTTCCGCCTTTTCCTCCTCCATCCATTGACTTTCTATTGACTTTCGCCACCGCAGGTGTTGGCTCGACTCATGTAACTGAGTTACCACGAAAATTGACTGACATTACTAAGTGGAACCAACCATTGCGATTCCAATCGTGGCACAAACTCGACTGAAAATCATATTATTCTTCGGCCCATAGCATACATTATATGCTATAAAATATCTTACCTCGATTGCCCATAGAAGGAAGGGAAGCTTCGGCATCTATTCCTCTTCTCTTCCTTTCCCCCTAGAAGGAAAATTTTCACATTTCATATTCTAATCTTCAAACTTTTCATTTCAGACATGCACGAGCCTCACTGGATTGAAATGATGTTGACCTAAGGAAGTTTAGAATCTTTATGTGCACGCCTTCCATTTCGATACCAATTGTTGCCGATGTTGATTTGCTTATTGCTTACACGGCATCAGTAGAATAAGGTATGGAGGATTTTTGACATTTTTTGGGAAAGTTTGACGTTGGGGCACGTGCAAGCGGCTGTGCATAACGTAATAATTAAAATTGAAATGATGAGAAGATGACTGATGCAGTCGAGGAAAGTCATATATGTAAGTAAGAGCTCGAAAATGACCTGGGCGCAAGCAGAGAGAAGAAGAACCACTGCGGCTGAGAGTTCCATATCACGACCGTGAAACCGGACGATGCTGGCTGCTGAATTTCCAGATCGGGCCAGGGGACCGACTGGGTTCATGGCGGAGGGGCTCGAAGCCATGCGTCGGGTTGGGATCCCGAGCGATCGCCAGATGCCGGGGGATGATGGATGTCGCTGGGGGATGAGAAAAATTATTCCGTGCGGCGCACTGGATCTAGTGGCAATTAATCGCTGCGAGCAATTCACGGATTGCCAGCTGGGCGAAGCAAATCTCATGAGGCATACGTGCATGAGCCAAACGGCCAATCGACACGGTAAAAAATGTTCTCGAATCTACTTGTTTCTGGATGGAAGAGTCGAGAACCACGCATCATCGACGGATTCAAATGTTCTGCGGTTACAGCGCTCAGAGACATAACACCCAAGACGCTGGACGATGTTATTGAAAACACTGCTGTATTTTGTAAAGCGATTATCCAAAGAAATGGTGAACGGATCGAACATATTTTTCAGCATTGAAAAAACCTTCTGAGTTCGTCTATAATGTGACATGTGACGCAATGTCACACAAAAGACAGAAAAGTGAGCTTCAGCTCGAAGAGTCCAAGCTAACGCATCGAGCTAACATCTAGCGTGCGTCAATGGGCGTGGCGACTCGCTTCCTCTCTAGTTAAGATAAAAGCTTCCTTCGGGCGTCATTTTTATTGTGAGGTGGCCATTTTTGAATCGATTACAGGTACTATTCTATTAAGCTGAAACAAGAAGCTTCACTTAATAAAATTCAAAATCGAAACTTGCCACCTCGGGAATTCGTCGTTTCAATATTTCATTAAAAAGGGCAAGATGTGCCATTTCTGGCGATACAAAATTCGAGATTGCCACTCAATGGCCTCGCGAGATATGAATATTTTTGTGCGCCAGTAGTGCCAAATTTCCATTTGTTTCAACTCTTTGACCAACTTCGGTGATCGACACCTGCACTTTCAACTCGATTAATCCCGACTTATAATAAACCATTGAAAAGTGCCTGCTACGCCCTTTTTAACGACACCATATTCAGGGTCGGCACTCAAGGGGTTCATGAGGCGTTACCATTTCACGGCATCGACAATTCATTCATAGTTCCACCTGGGAATCATGGGAAAGTAGCTCAATGTAATGTAGCTCTATGCCTGAAGTTTTCGCTGGTTTTTATTTTATGATTTTCCTAGCCGAAAAAACGACAAAATACGAATTTCAAACAGTTAAAAATCAGTTAACTTCTAAGAGGTACTCTTAATAAGGATGCTTAAATCGTCGTGTTGGACAATACGCATGCTCGATATGATGTAATATAAGTCCCGCGCGCTCAGAGAATGTGGGGTAGTAGAGAGTAGCAGCAGCGCAGTTGTCGGGACGAGAGTCGAGAGTGTGTGTGTGTGTGTCGTATGAGTAAATTATTGAGTAAATTCTAATATAACTTTAATAGAGCTTTGTGGCTCCCGCGGGACATTATTTTGTTCGCGGCCCTGCATGGGTTCTGCCCATGAGAGGGTTGGGCCGCATAGCCCTCCATTGTTTTTCTGGCGGTGTGACCTCCCCCTTCCGGCCACGCCGTCTTTTCGTCTTCCCGTCTCGTGTGTGTGGTCGGCTGTCGTCTGTCGGGAGAGTTCGTGCTAGGCAGTCCCTCTAGCCAGCCGTGCCTGCAGCCTTTCTGTTTTTGGTCTTCTGTCTGGCGTCGTGCGGAGTGGTTCGTCCTTGTCTCTCTGGCTGTTGGAGTCCTCCAAATCCGTGCCTGCTATCTCCGCTGCCGTCTGCTGCTGTGCCTGCGACTTCAATTAACATCTGTGATATTTATTTACTTTC